TTGAGCTTCCCTGCTATTTTGGTTTGTTGGATTATGACTTGTGTGTAGACAGTGTCTTATTCTATTGTTATTAATGGGAAACCATCAAAACCTTTTGAAGCTAGGAAAGGATTAAGACAAGGTGATCCACTATCTCTTTTTTTGTTTGTCCTTGTAATGGAATATCTTAGTAGGATGCTCAAACAATTAGGGACACAACCAAACTTCAATTTTCACCCAAAGTGTGCTAAAATGAACATTATCCAGCTAGGTTTTACTGATGATCTACTTTTATTCTGTAGAGGGGATGTTCTTTCTGTCCAATTACTTTTTGATCAGTTTCAAAAATTCTCTAAAGCATTTGGACTTGTTACAAATCTTAGCAAAGCTCTGTCTATTGTGGGGGAGGGGATATAAAATGAGGTTCAAACTGAAATTCTGGACATCTTGGGATTTAGTAAGGGGAAACTTCCATTTAGATATTTGGGGATCCCTCTAAGTACTAAGAGAGTCTCAATTATCCAATGTCAGTCTCTCCTTGATAAAATGTTAGGCAGAATCAAGTCATGGACTACAAAATTCTTATCTTATGTAGGAAGAACTCAACTGATAAAGTCAGTACTTCTCTCAATACAAGTATTCTGGGCTCAGATTTTTATCCTACCTAAGAAAGTTATTAAAACCATTGAATCTACTTGTAGAAACTTTCTTTGGTCTGGAGGTGTAGAATTATCAAAGAAAGCCTTCCTAGCATGGGACAAGATATGCTACCCTAGAGTTGCAGGAGGATTTAATATTTTGGATATTACAACTTGGAACAAAGCTGCAATAAGCAAGCTATTATGAAATCTTTGTAAGAAGGCAGATAAATTATGGGTGAGGTGGATTTACTGTTATTATGGGAAGACAATGAATATCTTTGAAGATGTGCCTAAGCAGGCTTCTTGGGTTGTTCAGAAGATACTGAAGGCCACCAAATACTTTGATGAGGCAGATTACACGATGGAAGAGGTGCAGAATATGGAGCGTTTCTCTACTAAGCATTTCTACATAAAGCTAAGAAGTGAGTTCCAGAAAGTGACATGGAGGAAACTAGTTAGAAGGATAATCGAAAGAAGTTCTCCTAAAGATCAATCCACTACGCATTCTTGCATATCTTCACGTGCTTAAATTTATTCATCTTGTGAGGTTAAGACATAATTGAGAGAGAATGTTTTGCTGAACGTTTGAACTAATAATTGAGTGAATTCGAGAGACTCACTTAAACATTAGAAGTGAATTACCTAGAGTTAGATCCAAAATAATTATCTTGCACCTATCCTATCAACCCCTATTTTCTCTCACTGATAACTTCCTCGCTTATCTTTGTTCGATTGTCATTAGTCAATACCTTTATAATCTTAGTTAATTTTAGTTAGAAATCATATAAATCTCGACTGTTGATTCTCCTGGATAGCAATCAAGCTAGGTACTACAAAAATACTGTTTAATTCTAATCCCTGTGGATACGATATTATACTATACTATCTTTGACTAGCGAGCATAATTAAAGTGATTTTTTGAGCTCGTCATCCTCGGTTGGTGTACCTAACTCAACAGGTTGAGCAGTCTGTTGAGCTGAGGAAGGTCGCCGTATTCAATGTTGAGAAGCTCCTTCCTTGCTAGCTTCCCCATCATCGTCAATCATTACGCTGTCTATGACTGGCCCGGGCTGGGGGCTCATCGCCACAACTTTCGGAGACGATTCGGGAGTGGCACTATTTGCCTTTTTATTTTTTCCCTCAGCCGCAGAGGAACGTCTTCTTTTTGGTCGCTTGTTCTCAGGTCGGGGACTTCGAGAAGAAGCACTCATACCAGAAGCAGGCCCGGAGACACATGTTTGCATAAAAGCTTCTTGCAACAACCTCGCCGCGTCAGCAGGATTAGCCAAAACGTCCTCCTCGGGGATGACAACTGAGCCCTGGGGTAGACTTGAGTCCAACAAGAGAGAAATATTAAATAAATTCCTTATACTAAAAGGTAAGAACGAGGTGAGCTTGACTTACTATGATTTTTAGCCTTCCACCCATATTTAAGGGCTAGTTCTTTCCACGTACGGGTCTCAGGCTTAGTAACGTCCAAATTTTTCTGGACCCACTGGTCCAAGCCTTCAACCCTAGGTGGAACCCACCGAGCCACTGAAAAAAAGGAAAGGAGAAGGGTCAATAACAACAAGGAATGATCTTTAACGGAATGAAGTCGTAGCTGGAATAATGTCACTGATGGCAACTAAAACGAGTCGTTTCATCCACCCACGGTCATTGTCATCATCCATGCTGGATAGCAGAGCTTGGTGGTCACGCTTGCTAAAATTTATCATTCCCCCATAGAAGATCTTGGGGGAATAGCGGTTCATCAATCGAGCTAGGATTAGCTCCTCTCCCGTCTCCTGGCATAAGCGCCGAAGACAAGCGACTGTCCTCCCCACCGAAGGACTTACCTGTGCCAAGCACACCTAGTAGCGAATACAGAACTCCACGATGACAGAGTCAAGCTCTCCACTCAAAGAGAACGGTCCCAAGGTGAAGGGATACGTATAAAAATACGTAAAACCGTTCCTAGGTAAGGTTATCCGCTCCGCTGGGTCGGGAGCGATAATATCTAAATCTTGACAGTGGAAATCTTTCTTCATAACAAGAATACTTGAAGGAAGAATGGAAGAAGGATATACGCTAACGGCCCACGTACGAGGGTGAGCTGAAAGACACTTCTCTTCGAAGTCTTTGGTGGCGACAAGACTCTTCGGGATGATACAGCTCACCGTAGGAGAAGCAACATCATCAGCTTTACCTTTGTTCTTTGAAGAACTAGGGTTTCTGGAAGAAGATGCTATTTTTTTATCAGAAAGGAGGGAAGGTTTTCTCTCAAGAAGAAGGTTAGAGGAAGGTTGAAGGCAAAGCACGAGTTGAGTAAAGAGAGTTTGAGAAAGTATAGAGAATTATGAAGCGTAAATGAAGAGGTTTGATGCATATAAGCAAAGGTATATGAGGCTAAAATCATGGCCATAATTGCCTCAATAACCGGCAAAAATGATTCTAAATCGTGGGATGGCACATATTCGGGGCATTAAATACGGAGAGACATGCGTCTAATCAATCGTCAGAAACTTTTCAGAGGGGATCAGAGAATTTCTCGCCAAAAAAAGGTACTTCTACCAACTTCCCGATGACACAAAGTTATGCCACCGGAAAGCAGGGGACTATTTGTATGGGTTAAAATATGTTCATATATAATGATCGCATGAGAAAGCGACACGTGGAACCAAAGGCAGAAGATAGATAAACCCGGAGGCAATGATCTCGCTTGTCACCAGAGAGAATGATACTCATAATGACAGAATTAATATCGTCATCCGGTAGTATTCAATGAAGAATATTCTACAGCATTAAGTGCATGATCCGTTACAGAGAATATGGCATTCACTGCCCACCATTACACATCCTTCAATAGCCCTCATAATTGTCATTAAAGAGGAGCTTAATCCTAGGACCTTACTCCCTAGGTGCAGCTATAAATAGTGAGTTATATTATCATTGTAAGGGACATAAATTTTCTGACAACTATACACTATATTCTATCAAAAAGCTCAATAACATTTTACTTTCTTGCTTATTTGTATTGTTCTTATTTCTCCCGGCAGTTCTGCGCCCGGAACCAAGATATCTGCCGTCTATTTCGATTTTAAGGCTAAGTCTTATATTTCTGTCTAATTCATCTATTATTTTTGGATCAAATTAATTCACTTGTCTATAAACCACGTATAAATTCAACTGTACAGTTTTACGGGTAAACACCTCTTATATTTAGTTCTATTTTCCAACTCATTCAAAAATTGTTATTTAGAACCAGTCAATTAGAGTACTTCATAATACTCGGAAAATAAATGTCTCCTTCTGTATTGTTTTCTAGAACTGATGGGTGCTGAAAATCAATAATGGTTGACTAATTAATTATTTTTATTAGTTTGTTCAGCTCAACGAGTTGTAAGTGTACTGTACAGCAGAGGTTTTACGTTGACGGAGAAGTTTCATTGGATGATAAAGATCAAGTTAACAACTTTAAGATATGATTAGGTTAAAGGACAGGTTAAGATTTATTCAACATTGTGATCCTTGCGGATTCTTTTAATTACTTGAAAGAAAGGGTGAAGAAAAGAGGGAAGCGGAAAAAAATAAATTAAAAATAAAAAAACAAAAGCAAAGTGGGTTCCAGAACCAAATAGCCAGAATTGCAGAAATACCTGCTCAATGTAATCTTAAGCAATAATTACTTTTTTTTTTTGGTTGGAATATATATCTACCTAAAAATGTCTCAGAGTAACTACAGAAATTTCTTGGGGTATACCTAGTCCCTTCTGAGTCCTCAACTCTGCACACATGCACCATCACCAGGTATTTTTGAGAAAATTAGGTTTAAATTACTCGTAAAAATAAAACTTATACAATCAAATGTCTATAAAATAATTACAGGTAGAATTTTATTATATTAGTAATTTATAACCTAATAAATTGATCGATAATTAATTTACAAGCTATCACATTTCAAAATTCACAAATAGTGTAAAAAATCTTTCCACTATCTAAATAGATAATTTAAATTTTTGCAAGAATAAGAATGAAAACCGTTAGTGGTGTCTGTCAAGTAGGTTTAAGCCTGCTGAATGACATAAGAATGGATACTATTACCGTTTTTGTCTCTATTTGGTTCTTCTTCCTCAAAATATTCTCCGAAATTGACAACTATTCTATTAATTATATATAAGTATATACCATAAGAGTCAATTAGATGATAAAAAAGGTGTAATTTCTAACGTTCCATTTTACCTTTTATCCCATTTGATTGAGGAATTACTGGAGCTCTGCAGGGACAAATAGTCTCTTTTTAACTTTTTTGTTTGGTTTATTTTCATAACTCAGTAAATAATCTCAACTAATCCTCCCTTTAAATATCTGGTCGGCTAACCTCAACATCAAGTCTTCCTTGTCCCTTCTCTCTCTACAAATAAACAAAAGTCAAATGTCTTTTTTTCTTACAAGTTTCTGAAAGATATATATAGTATTATCTTCGTCAATTCTCATTTGTTTGAAAATGGGGTGCAAGCAATTAGTGGAGAAGCCAAAGCAAAAGCATAAGAGGGGATTATGGTCTCCAGATGAAGACCAGAAGCTCAAAGACTACATCCTCACCTATGGACATGGCTGTTGGAGCTCTGTGGCAATCAATGCTGGTTAGCTTATATATTTACTTCACATTCTGCAAATTTTTATGAAATACCACACACTGTTGCTCCTGTTAAATTTTGCCCATATAGTACCAAAATTTGTCTCTTTACCTCTTATTGAAGTGTACGTCTATTTTGTCCTTCTAGAAACTTTTCTACTTTAAACACGTAAAAAGATATTCATCGAGTAATTTAATTAGCTTTGTCAATCTCAGCCAAATTCCATGTTTAAGAGCTTGAATAATTTCATCCAGTACAATAGCTCTCTTAATTGTGTTATTCTAAACGTGCATGAGTACAAAAGGGGAAAAAAAAACAAGATTGTTGTATGATATCCTTGATGATAATAAAGTTAATCATCATCATAATTGGTTTCCCTTTGTTTATTCTTAATGCTGTGTTTCACTAGCGATTTCATTCAAAAAGTAAACAAATTATATATCCCAATATCGTATACTACATTCGTTTTATTTTATATGTCGTTATTTGATTAGGAACAAAGTTATTTTTTAGAGAGAACAACTATTGGAACTTATATACGTAATATATGCCATAATATTTTTATGGTTATAAGAATATGTCATTAATATAAACTGGGATGTTTAAAGTTAAGTACTTCCAAATAGAATGTGCGATTCATTTCGAAATAGACTAAGAACAAATGAGCACCACATTAAATGGAACAGTGGAAGTATACAAACTGAACGCGTGAATGTTAAAAAGAGTAAAATATATATAATATTTGATTACGTATATAGCTTTGAAACTCTTTATTTTATTAAAAGAAATATGGAAAAAGATGAATAAAAAGACTCCAGCTTATGACAAAGCTAAGATACATGTCAGCCGAGTTTGTTATCTTTGCCGCACTACTTGGGAATTATTTATAGGAACAAAGTACGACGGCAACACAAGTCAACAAACAATAGAATTTTCTGTTATTAAGGAGAAATTCAAATCATTATCGTTGACATCTAGTGTGGTATTCTTATTGGTTATTTATATTATAGGCTTGCAAAGGAATGGAAAGAGTTGCAGATTGAGGTGGATTAATTATTTAAGGCCTGGCCTAAAGCGAGGGACTTTTAGCACTGACGAGGAGGACACAATTCTGACCCTTCATGGAATGTTAGGCAACAAGTAAGAAACTTTGTCCCTTGGATAATTACTCCTCTTTGTACTGCAATAAATCCACCACAATATATGTCCAATGAGTTTAAGTCATTTATATACGAAAAATATAAGAATTTTTTTACACTATTATCAATGTAATTTAACTATCTAAAGAAGGTTGTTACTTTAATTTTTAGATACCATATAAAGTCTATTGTTGTTGTACGCGAACTTAACCTTAACTTGATGTTATAAATATTTATACATTATCACAGCGCACATAAATTAAACTCATGGCCAATAGCTGTTTAGAATGGGAAAGGATTGGGAGTGCTAAAAGGCACCTTTGTTATTTTAAATAAGGATCATACAAGTATTTAATAAAAGATTCTTGTAAGTTGACTTTAGATATGCCTCATTTGATAATTATGAATCCACCTACTGGCTGCAGTTTACAAAAATTGCAGCATTAGACTTTCTCCAAATAGTGACTGTAATTTTGGTGACAAGTGAATATAACTGGACAGTGATTTTATCCCAATGTCTTTCATTTCTTGGAATCAAGTGAATGTTGAAAAGAAAGAGATTAAGAAAGGACATTTTTGTTAAGAACTCAATAATTTAAGGATGTCTAGTCAGATTTTAAACTGTAAATATCCAATGAAAAATTATAGAGAGCATTTATGATATTAAGAATTAATATAGTCAACCGACCTAGCTTAGAATTGTGGCGTAGTTATTGTTATAATCTCTAACGATGGCTCTACATCCACAGGTGGTCTCAAATAGCACAGCATTTGCCTGGAAGGACCGACAACGAAATAAAGAACCACTGGCACTCTTATCTAAAGAAGAGAGTGGCTAAAATGGCAAAAAATGAATCTGGGCAGGCTAAATCTGGATGCACTGGCCTACATATTGAACATAGAGAATCTTCACCTTCTTCCATAAAATTGGCTTCCCAAAATTCAAGTCCGGACTCATTAGCAGATAGTGATCAGTCTGCTTCACTACTGGTTGACTTTGCAAGAGAAAATTGCAAAAGCAATTTACCAAAAGTCTTATTTTCTGAATGGTTCTCGGTAGAGCAATTTAGTGGTCGAGAGGATTTCAAGAACACAACCAATCAAGATCTTTCCAAAAATAATTTTGGATGCAACGATTCAGTGTTCCCAGATGCTTTCATGCAATATGTTCCTATTATGAATGAAGTTACCTATGGGAATGGCATAAGTCAAGGTTTTAACAGTGGGAAGGTAGATGACTTTGAGTCAAGGTTTCAGCCACCATTCAAGTTTGGTTTTGAGGAATTTATATCTGGGGAATTTAACACAAATGGTGATGTAATGTACACATGAGTTCTTTTTTTCAACCTCCTTCAAGGAGAATTACTTCTAATTGCTTTACCAGATAATGTTAATAAATTGTTTGGAACGAATAATGCAGGACAGTTAAAAGCGGTAATGTTATGTCGTGTTTTTTTTTCCTCATAGAGACAAGAGTTGAGAGTTAAAAGCGGTAATGTTATGTCGTGTTTTTTTTTCCTCATAGAGACAAGAGTTGAGAGTTAAAAGCGGTAACGTTATGTCGTGTTTTTTTTTCCTCATAGAGACAAGAGTTGAGAGTTAAAAGCGGTAATGTTATGTCGTGTTTTTTTTTCCTCATAGAGACAAGAGTTGAGAGAAAGCAGTACTTAGCAGCAAAGATCTAACATGTTGGTCTTCATTTTTTTATAGCCTAATAAACACTTTTACTTATTTCATTTTATCATTCCGATCTCAATACTTTATAGATTTCATCCAAACAATTGTAGTTGTTAAAACACACTACTTTAAACCCCTCTAGCCTTGCGTGTTCTTCAAAGCACATCATCATTCACAACAGATTTTTTTATGACACGTCGTTATATTTTTCACTTGAATTTCAAAAATTTTAATTTTTTTTCTTTTTTCATTCCATTTTTCCCCACACTTGACCACCTATCTCCATTTTTTACCGCAGAAACAACACGACTTTCTGCCTTTACCGGCGGCACCATCGCCATGGACACCATTCTCCTACTTTTTATCGTCCACATCTTGCTTTCACAGAATTTGTCCAACGTCGCCACTCACTACTTCAAATTCACCATGTGAGCCACCTTGTACATCTTTCCTCCGTTGATGTTGTTGCACCACCACTAAAATTCCTCAATATCCCCACATGTCCGCACATTTTTACACTGTATACCTCACTTAATTCCACAAAGACCTTCGTCAATCACTCTTCACCCTCCAAAACTACCACATCTCCAGCACCTCATTGTAAACTGATAAAAATATTAGATCTTTAGCTTCTCTATCAAATAAAAATTCACAATTATATATCGGCTCCATCACTTGAAAATTCATTAGTCCTGAAACAATTGTCGCCCAAAACAGATTCTATACTGCAATGGTCATAGATCTAAATCATCTCAGAAACACTAATGGTGGTTGCTCTTCAAAAAAGGGTTCTTAATAATTTTTTTGAAATATTGATTGAAGGTTTGTAAAAAACGGGGAGAAGGAAGAACAGGAAAGGAATAAGGGGAGAAAGAGAAGCGATTGAGAAGGGGTGGGGAAGAACGGGAGAGGCGAAGATAGGAAGAGAAAAAGAAATGGGGGAGGGGGTGGGGGAAAGAAGAAAGAGAGGAGACATATTTTTTTGTATTATTCTATTTTTTGTGTTTTACTTTTTATTTTTATTTTTACTTTTTATTTTAATCAATTAGTTTAAATTTTTATATTTATGCTCGTTGTTATACGCGTGAAGTCCAACTCGTCATCAAGTTGTCACATATGCTTAGTCAGAGAGATTTAAAATAATGTGTTTTAACAACTATAAATATTTCACTCCACTTGTAATAAACTTAGAAATGCCATTTACAGCTTACTTTGTCCTCAGAGAATTTGATTTCGAAATCCATCTATAAGTACTAATTAACATGGGATCGAGGATTTTAACTGGAGAAGTAATTCGAGGGGCGTCCATTATNTATATATATGTATGTATTATACGACCAAATGATAGCATGATACATGAAATAGGAGACGGGCGGAAGGCAAATCGAGTAAGAACTAAGATCGGGGACAGCAATTGCGGTTGGTATCGGATAGATCTCGAAGGGAGCATAATCGACGTGAGCTGGTTGAATGTCTGTCACCAGATGACATTTAATGAAGAATATTCCCTAATATTAAATAGGCAGCCGTTGCAGAAAATTTTAGTATTCATGGCCTGCCATTACACATTCATCCATGACTCCATTTATTGTCATTTAAGAGGGGCTTGATCCTAGGATCTTGTTTCCTAGGTATAATTATAAATAGTGGCTTCAACAACCATTAGAGAGACATACGAAATCTTTGGCAAAACCTATGCTACATTCTACTATCAAGCTAAGTAATACAACTTTATTTTCTGCTTTACATTGCTATTAATTCTGTCCTCGGAGGCATCGCTCCCGGAGCCAGACATGCCATTTCTTTTGGATTTTTACGCTAAGTCTTGTATTTAATATAATTTATTTATCATTATTGGATCTAATCGGTTTGTTTGTCTATAAACCACATAACAAATTTAACTGTACCGTTTTACGGGTAAACAGTTTGGCGCCCACCGAAGGATTAGACAATTGCGTAATTGAGTTGATCCTTGCGTCTATTACTAACTCGTTTGATTCTTTGTTTCATAGAAAAAACTGAAAATGACAGCTAACGATCTCAACATCGCACACAACATTGAGGCACACTGTCTCAACATGAGGATTCAATCAGTGACACCCGCAACGAGGGGGACATGGCAACTCCGGTCCATGGCGGACAATATCCTCGACGTGTGCGGGAAGCAACTCCCGATGATGATGAGGACGAACACGTTACGGAAAAATTAAGAATCTTGAGAGAGCAACAAAAAACAATCATGGGCCATCTTTCAAGGTAAGATCAGGTCATGGCGGAATTGAAGCAGGCACTATCAGGTGCTTCCAATAACGCAAACGAAAGAGGCCCAGTTCCTCCCGGCGCTCCTGCAAATTAAACGGCTCCAAGGGTTGATAACAACACCCCGGTGGGTGAGGTTGATTTCAATGGGGCCAGGGGAATTGGTAGCGGAAATGACAACGATAATGATCCCTTCAGAACTGAACTCATGAGATTCATGAGGGAGATAAATGAGCGGATGGAGCAGAACACAAAGGAGTTTCACGCCCGAATGGACCAGATTCTGGGCGCACCGCTAATGTTGAAGGGCCCATATTCGAAGAAGTACATCTAGTTACCGTTTAAATCAAGCGCAGCAACGGAAATGATTCAAGATGCCGGACATACCAAAGTATGATGGGACTTTAGATCCTCAGGAGCACATCATAACTTATATAACAGCGGTGAAATAAAATGACTTGGCCCAATATGATATTGAGTCGGTTCTGTTGAAGAAATTCGGAGGGGACATGGTATTCACTCTTACCCGAGCACTCAATATATTCTTTTAAAATGCTCGCAGATGCATTCATAAAGGCCCACGCTAGGGCTAGAAAGGTTCAACCTCGGAAGGCAGACATATTTAGGATCGCAGAGGGTGAGTCTGAATTACTGCGAGAGTTCGTTATTAGGTTCCAAAAAGAGAGGATGTTGCTACCGGCCGTGCCAGAAGAATGGGTAGTTGAGGCGTTCACCAAGGGTTTGAACCCAAGGAGCTTTAACGCCTACCGAAAGTTGAAGGAAATCATGCTCGAATTCCAAGCGATCACATGGGCGGATGTCCATAACCGCTATGAATCGAAGATAAGGATACAAGATGATCAGCTCGGGTTCCCGATGTCGACTAAGGGGAGGGCCCAAAATAAGGTCAAGGATGATTTTGATGCAGATCGGTGATCTTCCAAATGCCACTTTTTCCCTACGAGGGAGCTGGGGGACGCGACAGTAAAGGGTTCCAGTCCTCGGGTAGGTTCGCTCCCGAAAGAAAAACTGATCGTGGCCGAAATAACAGATCGTTGCAAGACAAAAAGGTATCGAGTTCCCCGAATTCCACTTATCCCGGGTTGTCAGATTACAATTTCAACATCAGTGTCGTGGAGCTGGTATCGGCGATGCGGAATATCGAAGCGACATGATTCTCGAAGCCAATCAAATTTGATCCCAGCTAGAGGGATCCTAACTTATGGTACGAGTATCATGGGACTCATGGCCATAGAACTGAGAATTGTTGGCATAAGCGCGAGGAGGTGGCAACACTGTTCAACAATTATGGCTGCAGCCGTGACGAAGCAGAACCCTTAAAGATAGGGAAAGACCCTCCTCGGCTAACTATCAACTTGATTTTCGGAGGGAATGAGATTAATGGTGTAGCCTTATCGGCAGCCAAGAAACCAAAAGTATCAATAACCCACAGCAAGAGGCTCCGGGAAATCGCCGTAGACAAAATCACCTTCAAGAAGGAAGACGTCGATAGACTTCTTCTCCTGCTTAATGATGCCCTGGTAATTTCTCTTAATGTTCTTGATTTCAAAATTAAACATGTTTTGATTGACCGAGAAAGCTCTGCCAACATCATTCAATGGAGAGTACTGGAATAAGCAAAACTAACCGGAAGCATCATTTCAGCTACAAAGCTCCTCGTTAGGTTCAACTTGGCAAGTGTGATAACCCGAGAAGATATCTTGCTGCCCACGAATGCCGAAGGGGTTACAAAGACCACCTTATTTGAAGTGATGGATGGCGACATGGGCTACAAGATAATTCTCGGTAGACCATGGTTACAATAAATGAAGGACGGACCATCAAAATATCACAAACTGCTGAAATTCCGTACCTTAGAGCGAATCAAGCAAATTAGAGGAGATCAACCGCCCGTAAGAGAAATGAATGCCGTGTCAATTTCCAGCAGTAAGGATAAGGAACCCAGCAAATAGCAATTACAGGAACTGATGCCTGCCCTCGAGCCGAGTGAAGCTAATAAAGGTTAAGGGTCGTCAGAATCTCACCAGGTACCGAGATACTTTCAAGTACCAAAAAAGAAAGATGCGACCAAGTCTACAATAAAAGAGCTCGAGCAAGTGGCTTTGTTCGAATAATTTTTGGAGAGAAAATTTCACTTGGGCATAGGACTCAATCCCGAGCTGAGGTCGGGATTTATTAATTTCCTTAAAGCTAACGTTGATTGTTTGCATGATAACACTCGGATATGACAGGTATCGCTCTAGAGGTGGTCGTGCATAAGCTAAGCATGAACCCAAGCATCCCTCCGGTAAGGCAGAAAAAATGCCTAATAGACGAGGTCTGAAACATGTTTGTTAAGGAATAGGTAACCCGAGTACTTGACATCGGTTAAACCCGGGATTTAAAGTATCCCGAATGGTTAGCTAACGTAGTGGTAGTTTCGAAAAATAATAACAAGTTTCGAATATGCATAGATTATAAATACTTGAATAAGGCATGCCCTAAAGACTCGTTCCCACTGCCAAACA